CGAGGCCCTCTCCCCGCGCTAGAGGTAACACACAAGCATAGCTGTTTTCGACGTGAAATAAATTCAAGATCGCTTAGGCGTTAATGGGATCATATTCTAGACATCTTAAAGTATCATTTAAGCCAATAAACAATTTTTTTTATTTTTTGAAGCCGCAAAGGTGTTATACCCCCTTAAATTTATCTAACAGTAAAAATCAACAGCGCATGCGCGATTAAACAAGAATGCTGATGACCATCTCGTTCTCTGTTTCTTTCTATTCGCTCACGCATTCTTAGCTGGCTCTACTCTATATATACAACCTCTTTGGAACTGGCACGCGGAAGGTGAAAATATTACATGATGTATAGTTCGGCCAAACCACGCATACTTTTGTTCCGCTTCGTTTATAGTGTGCATATGCTACCAACTGTAAAATGCGAAACATAAGGCGGTATTCACAGTTTTATTTTATGTTTTTATTTTAAAACCTTAAATATATCTTAAGATACTAATACAGTCCTCGGATTAATTTACGATATTTTAAGATTGTATTTATGACAGTCTTAAATGTAAGAATCAACTATGAATACCGACTTGCTTTGCGTCGTGAAATTGATATTAAATCTTTTCTTGTTTAACTTTATATTTCTCTTTCTATAGGAAGAGAACCTAAGATACATTATAAGTATCAAATAAGAAAAGATTCAATATCAATTTCTCGACGCGAAAAAGGTCAGTATTCATAGTCGATTCTTGCATTTAAGACCAGTCTTAAGTACAGTCTTAAGATGTCATAAGTCAATCTGAGAACTGTATTAGCATTTTGAGACATTATTTAAGACAATTTTAAAATAAAAACAGACTATGAATAGCGCCCCATGTTTAGCGTTTCGCAGTTGATAGCCTATTCACACTGGAACAATCCATAGACGGAGAAAGCAGAGATTTAACAAAAGACACTGTCCAACTGCACACACCATGTTATCCCTTCCAACATGGTTGAAAGGCTCTGCTCTAGATTGCGAACGTTCTCCTCCTTCCTAAGCAATTGATAAGTTAATCGTACAGGATGCACGATTTTTATGCTTACTTCCTTGCATTTTGATCGATGCATGATTCGCTGTTTAAAACGCTGCATAAAGTCATTCGCATGAAAGTGGCATTCATGGTGACTTCCGTCACAATTGCATAGTGACGCATAGAAATTGGCCGAATCAATCAATCAATTAATCAAATCAATTGGAATCACGAAGTAAGAGGAGACTCAACTTCGTGAAGAAAAATGAGATTGATTTGGGCATCAAATGGGGAAAAATCTGCTGAAAAAAATAACTTACAAATTTAGACGACATTTACAATATTCATCTTATCTTGTTTTATTTGCTGGCTTTATTGGTGTCTTCCAGTTGGTGTTTTATATCCTTGTGTGTTACAATGATTTTTGAAATTGCAAAGATGTCATGTTGAATTCGTGGATGAAAAAGAAGAAAAAAAATGCTTTGGAAAAGAAAAATAGTTTTTTTAAATCTCGCACAGTAAGTATAGCAGTATTTTTTATAATTGTAGAAATATGGTAAAGTTGTCTGAAACTATCAATGTATGTAATGTTGTTGTATTTTATTTTAATGAAAATGTACATGATTTAAAAATGTCTAAATAAAAAAGATTTTCTCACAATTAGAAGCGCAAATCGGAGAAACAAACATGTGTAGCCTGTACAAGTAGTATAGCTGGCTCTTTTACAAATGGCGTCTAAATTAGTAAGTTATTCTTTTCAGCGGATTCCCTATCATTTCAGTGCCCAAATCAGTTTCACTTTTCCTGCTTAGGTTTTGAGAAAATCTTATGAGAAACTTAGGTTGTGAGAAAATCTTTTTTATTCAAACACTTCCAAATCATGTACATTTTCATTAAAATAAAATGCAACAATATTACATACATTGACAGTTTCAAATAACTTTACCATATTTCTTACGGATACCAAGTTGATAGACAGTGATTACACGGTTATAGTTTTATTTTTGATCTTAGAAAAAAATGTTTCACACAAAAGTTGTATGGCTTTGAGGACATAAGATGGTATCATTAACTTGACCTTTTATAGTTGTTTGAAGGTCAAGCAACTGCGTAAAGGTCACCTTCAATTTCTTAAATGAAACCCCTTACGACGGCTAAAACTTCTTGAATGTTGTTCAGGATTATGTTCTGAGTAATATTTATCAAAATCAAGGCCAATGAAGATTGTATCTCTTATTTTCATTTTTACGTAAAAATGAATTTTTAGTGCCATAATCTCTATTGTGTCAATTGTCATTCCAGTTAAATTATTGTAAAATTCAAAACTGTTTTTTATTCGACTCTTTGCAAGATGGATCTTGGAGATGATATCTGGAGACACGATTGTGTCTTGGCGCTAAGCGCAGCGACACTGCCATGGCTATTTTACGCGAGCTAACAAGCTGTGAGGGATCGAGATTATTAGATCTCAATAAAGGCAGAACCGATCAGGTTCTACTCAATCGATTGCATCCGCTCGGAATATATAATGAAAGTGTTTTTGTTTTTTCTCTATGTGCGCCCTACGAGCGGAGATATTACTATGTAAAATCTGAATCTTTGATATTTCGTTTTGTCATTATTATTAACGTCGTCGATCAGAGGAGAAATGTACGGTTCGTTTTTTCGATAATAGATAGCTTTTGATCTATCTAATTATCCAACATTGGCATTGCCATTATCAAGATCATTATCAAGATCATTATCAAGATCAAATCCAAGAAGATTATTCCTCTTATTTTCATTTTTACACTAAAAATTACATTTCTACGTCAAAATTAAAATAGAGGTCTCTCCAATGGCCTTAAACTTGACAAATGTTATCCAGGTCATGATCCTGAACAACATTCGAGAGGTTTTAGCCGTCACGTCGGTCGGACATCTTGGTTAATGCCGGCGGTAACTTGCAAGCCTTAATATAACTTGAAAAGTATTTAATGAAAATGAACTTAATTATAGTGGTTTGGAAAGCTTTCAAGATGATCTACAAGAATGTGCAATAAAAAGTAGGAGGTTTAGAAATTGAAGATAACCTTCACATGATTTTCAAGCAACTATTCAAGGTCAAACTAATGACACCATCTTATGTCCTCAAAGCTATACAACTTTTGTCTGAAACATTTTTTTCTAAGATCAAAAATAAAAGTTATTTGGGGTGAGACATTAAAATGGGACACCCTGTATATATAATTGAGGCGCTATTTCACTACACACAAATTTATAGTTATTTTTTACTGATACGATTTTTTTCTCTGAGTATAGTCAATTTAACTCGTAATATTACTGCGATAATTTAGTAGAGTTTACGTTTCAAGACCGAAAAATTATTTCCGCGTGCAGTTTAAAGGATTACATACGTAGTATATAAATTCACACAGAATTAAATAAGTACCTACTTAAGATCCAGCTAAGATCGTTAAAGGCATTGGTTCTATTGATGTGTTCTCACACGTACGGTCGAATAAGATTCAATATTTAATACTGTTTCTTAACGTTTTGATTGGCGCATGCAAGGAAATTAGGCATGAAATAATCAGGATTGTTAATATTATTGGTTTTAAATAATACATTACTGTAAACCATTAGTTGTGGTAAAAAGTACTTTGTTACTCGTTACTTATTACTGATTCTAAAAGTAACACGTTATCGTTATTTAAAAAGAATGAAAAAATCATTACTTTTTCCGTTACTTTTCCAAAAATGATTACATTTAAATTATAATTATATAAGAATGAATCGTTTTTTAATTCATAGTTTTATTTTGTTTTACATTTTATTAGTTCTTTATTTGGTTTTACATATCATAATTTGCGTCAATACATATTTTTTAACTTTAAATTATATCTAATTAATTTATATCGCTAAAGCTTTTTGTTTAATAATAATTGTTTTTTCGAAAATATCCGTCTGTTAAACAGACTATCGAAGATTCATCAAAACGAGTCCATCAGTATTAAAAAGTCTTTCTACCGATGCACTACTTGATAGACTGATATTATATTTGATTGAAAAAATTTTTTCAAAAGAGAACGCTCATTTAACATACTGACATCGGTATCTTCTGAATTTAAATAGCGTACAATCTTTTAGTCTTATTAAAGTAATCCTATTGTCCATATTGATAGTCAGACCTTATATTTAAGGTTTCCTTAAATTTATCTTCTGATGCTCAATAAAATAAAGAAGATAAATTTAAGGAAGCCTTAAATATAAGGCTTAACTATAAATATAGGCATATATCGGAATAATGAAAAAAGTAACGTAAAATTTCGTTACTATAATAGTTACTGAACATTGTGATTAGTTATCGTTACTGTCACTAGGAAAAGTAACTTCATTACTTTTTTTATGTAACTTACACAATCCTGAAAATAATGTATGTATCGTATCAAACACAGAAATCAAGGATGGTAGCATGCTTCGTTCAATGCATGGAGATGTTTAATATGTATTAGAGCAGACACAGCAGTATGTAAACTCATCATGCAAGAAATTATGCCTCGTGTGCACTGTGCGATCGACTTAAAACAATCCTATCGCGCAACTCGAGCCATAACTCTGACATCGTGGATTGGTCGAGAGACATAATTTGAACGAAACTATTTCACACATTATATAGCAGTTATATTTATATTTACTGGGAAAAAACTCGAAAGTTTTATTTACATCTTATACATGGTATAAATGTCATAACAAAATTAAATTATACAAGCTATATTTAAGTAATCTTCATGCAAAGATAACGCATTAATCAATTTCAGAATTTTCGGTCTCACCGTTCAAATAATTTTTATATTTCATCACGACATTTACTGCAATATTTTTTTTGGTAAACAAATGAGTTCTTTAAATCGTCTTATTTGACCTTAATGACCAATATTTACCAGGAATATAATTTTTTAAAACATATTAAGAGATATGTATACCATTAAATGTGGTATTTATAAAAAAACGTAACTTACAGAATAATAGTAGCGACAACGATTAACACGATGCTGAGCATAATTTTCCTGCAGTGATCGTGCTTTTTATCGAAGGGTTGACTTCGGGCACCGCAATGTCCCGCACATCTGCAACAACAGAAAAAGAGACCGGCACAGGGGAGAATAGCTGCCAGGATAAGTCCAATCAGAGCGAGACCGGCCAATCCTCCGTAATGTGTTACTATTATCTTCCATTCCTTGAGAGGATCTACGAAAGCCGGAGCGCCGTCGACCAGAGTGATCATACCTGCAAGAGAAACAGAAACATCGTGTGATTATTAGTTCCTTTTTACCGGATAATGATTACCACGAGACAGGAATTAAATCAATTAAAGGAATTAAATCAATTAATTTAATCAATTAAAACAAACTCTGATTTTAGTTGACCGAGTTACGGGCTGACTAAATTGTCTTACACTATACATCGCGCTGCAATCTAGAAAAAACAGACGGTGCTTTACTAATCAAGTCAAGGAATGCGGCATTCCGCCAATTTCTTGGCAATAACAAAATCTGCTTGTAGGAATCTAAAGATCGAATTAGCTGTTTATGTAATTTACATGCAAAAATTGCTCAAAAAGACAGACAACACAGAATTTGTATTAAAAAAATTACATATAGATCTTGTTGCGAACTAAGGATTTCTATACAAAGGTGAATGCTTTCATTGAATTTTCAAAGGATGACGCGTAATATACGTTGTAAGACAGAATCGATTTCTAAAAAAGAAATATATGATAAATTTATATTCTTCATCGAGAACAGTTGATAGCTCCTTTTATGGTGACGAATAGGGGACATCGGGCCAAATGAGGACATGTTGAATGTAGGTCATAATAGGTCAGGGTGTCGGAAAGGGTTGCTAGGTTGGAAAACAACGAGGACGGTCGGACGAATGTCGAAAATTTATCTGCTGAGTAATGTAACTTAAAGAAGAAATGGATCAAAGTTCCGATTTATCAATTGGCTGCGTTTCAGATTGTTAACCATAGCTGAATATATCTATTCGATGATCTCCTATACTTTTTTTTTATATACATTTTTTTATATACAATACATAATGATCCTAGAGAACTGTCATGAATAAAGAATATCTCTTCCTCTCAGACAGAAAATGTAGTATTCTAAAGTTCTTAGGCAATTCAATGAAGAGGACAATCTGTAATGAAACAATCGGATTAATCCCCGTGACACGCTCGTCGATCAGATAGCACACTTGATTTTATATAACGAGATCACATGCATCTGCACGGCTCGCTCTAGAAATCGCATTTCCCACGAATCACCGGTTGCGCGTTTTAGTGACAAGGTTTTCCTTTCTTTATTTTTATTACTCTTTTTCGAGAAGACGCTAATATTTATGGTCTGCGATGTGAAAATTTCTATGCAAACATTTATAGTAATGATAATTAAATAGAAATTTACTGCCCTTGTAAAGTTGACAATTCTTAGAATTTCGATATAATTGATAGAAAGCTGACTCTTCTTCAAAGAAGTTTTCTGCGAAGTTTTATGAAGAATCCTCGGCGATTAAAAGCAAAAAATGAAAATAAAGAACAAATAAAATATAGAATGTCAATTTAAGTTTCCATTATGTATAAATTAACAATAATAACTGAACTGAATTTATTTCTAATCATTGACGGAGGATCTGCATAGAGATTAGAATTAGTTTCAATTGGAAATGTATATAAGAAATTCAATTGGAAGAACATAAGGAATATAATTATTGTCACAGGAACATCTGTAAATTGTAAACATATCTCTAGGTTGTAAATTAAATTTTATTTACATTTTAATTTTTTAAAAAAGGATTATTGTTTATTTTATTCAAAAATTAATATTTTTTTATTATAATCACAGATAACCATTTATGGCATAGTTCTAGCACAAAATATCTTAAGGAAAGAAAAACTTAAATTAATTCCAATAGAATTATGAAATTATTCGAACAGAATTAGCTTTGAATGAGCTTTTTTAGTTTATTTAAAAAAACGATCAAAATGATTCTGTTAAATGTTCACCTAATTGGAATTGCACATTTCTATGCCCATCTCCATGATTCTTAAAAACGCAGTTCGTTTACTGCTGAATCAAAGTGGAGGTCACTATCAAGTTCCATGAATTGTGGACACAGAAAGGGTTTTTCGAGGACGATTAGTAGTAGATAGTGGTAATGATGACAGAAGGAATCGATTGTGAATTATGATTGGACATTGCATTCGTTAGGGAGCATGTATGTACAAAGTTCGATGAAAATGTGAGCGAGGGCTGTTAATTCATGTCATAATTGAAAGTGCCTCATACTGTAATCCTACACTGTTAAAAATTTCATGAAATTTAATATACTTTAAATTAAACAATTTGAACTTAATTTCATAACATTGCATTAAATTTAATGTATTTATAACTGAAAAGTATATTTGTGTACATGTAGATGAAATTTAATGTATTTTTCATGAAAATTTATGAAATTTAATATACACGTTCCTTACATTTAAATACCTACTGAATTTTCAATTAAATCATTCATTACTTTTAATTTCGTTCATAACCATGAACTTCATTTACATGTAAAGGAAGTATTTCTAACAGTGTAAAAATTATACTTTGAGTTCAATTTCTGATTATGTCAAACATAAAATTGATGGAAAGAAAATTTTATTACTATTTATTATTGAAGCCCATTGATCACTGAGTATATCTATAAATAAAATAACCGTGTTAGGCTTCGCTATGATAAGCAGGGCAATATGCAGAGACGCGTTTCATAAGAGACGATAGAATCTATAATCTGTTTTTGACACAGAAATAAATGTTGATGACATCGTTGATGTGCAGTAACCGTCTGATAAAAAAAATGTCTCTTCATCGAGGTTGTATAAATAAAAAGAGCGATGATCCTAGTTTTAGATTCGTTAACAGTCTTCATTCCGATTTTTGTAAACAATTCTAACTTCGTTGGAAAGGATTTCTTCCTTTAGGATGTACTGGATACAGAAACATATTAATATAGCCGTTTTTATCGATGTAGATCAACTTTAATTTCAATTTAACTTCCCTTCATTTTTCTTAGTTCTAAGAATACAAAAAAAATGAAGAATAAGTTGAAATGAGATTAAAATTAATCTATATTGGTGGAAACAGGCATAACACAGAGAAAACATACTGTAAAAATATATCATAACAAATTTACCTTTTTAAAAAAAAGATTAAAAAAAGCGCCAAGTGCGCATGCTCCTCTCAGAAAAAAATCGTTACATAAATTATTATATGCTTTTGTATGTATACTCCTTGAAGAAAAAAATGACTTCTTATTTAAAATCTATTTTAAACCTATTTTCTAAACTATGAAAGTATATAATAATAATTTTTTTAACAAATATATAAAATCTTTAAATTGCGTCAATTATATAAACAGAAAATATATTTCATTGAAACAATAATGTTATGTAACTACTTTTAAACAAAAATACATGAAAATAAGAGCATCTAATTGAAATAAAAAAATCTTAATATAAAAAAAATCTGGCGTCGCTAGACTAAGTCAAGTTTGCTTACAGCGCCAAGTTTTTTATATTAAAATTTTTTTATTTCAATTAGATGCTCTTATTTTTATGTATTTTAACGTATTGTTACATAACATTAGTGTTTCAACGAAATGTATTTTCTGTTTATAATTGGCGCAATTTAAAAATTTTACATATTCGTTGAAAAAAATTATTATTATGTACTTTCATAGTTTGGAACAGGAAATCATTTTTTTATATTTAGATGCATAAATAGGTATGACGGAAAAAACTTTTCAAAAAATTATTTTATTAGTTTAACTCAACTATTATATTAATTTATTTTAATCGTTTAGGACTATATTCACAAATTGGTTTTTTAAAAAAATTAACATCGATCTACCAGGGCACGTCGATGCGATTTAATTTTTATATAATTTATTATTTTTTAACTCTTGACTATGCGATTGCGAGGAAACATTGGTTGGAGGTATTGTTATCACCACATGCGGACAAATATTGGAAGAATAATGAGAGAAGTAAATTATTGACTTAGAATCTTTTGAGGGAGGTTAAGACCCCCCACCCTTAAGGGGGCACGTGGGACACGAGGGAGGTCGAAAATCTTAAATGGCAACATAGGTCGAGTGGGGGCTCATTTGAAAGGTCTTCTCAAGACGAATCCAAAACACTCCGCATAGAGGGCGCTGCGTTCACTTTTGGCGGGAAAATGCAATTTTGAAAATTTTTTAGTCAGAAATATTAAAAAAGTTTAGTGTTTCGATAATCACCGGAACACGTGAAACGATTTTTCAAAAAATCTATCTTGATGGTGTAGTAAAGTCCAAAACACTAAGCATTGAAAACATTACAATCATTTTTCGCAGATTGTAATCGTATCTGTTATATGAAAAACGGTTCTCGCAAGTGAAAATGACTTTCGCGACCTATAAGCGTCTTGGTTTACCAAGAATAGTAAAAGCTGGTTTTGTTCCGACACTATAGGTATTGACACAAACTACTTACAAATTGTACTTCATTTTTAATTCAAATTGTAAAATCATTATTTTATAATAATTTTGCATTTATTTAAAAATGCCACTAAGTATTACCGACCGAATTACAATCCTTAGAATGCGCGGTTTTGGTGACCAAATTCGATCTTACGAAGCAGTCGCAAATTTATTTAATGACATCTATCCGGAGCACTATCCAATTTCTAAGTCTACTGTTTATCGCACAGTTTCGCGATTTAAAAGAACAGGTTCTGTTGAAGATGAACCCCGATCTGGAAGACCAAAAACTGCTAGCAACGACGATACAGCATTAGAAGTTCTTCAGAGTGTTATTGAAAATCCAAATAAACCTCCGTCTAAAATTGCGCAGGAATTGCGACATTAGTCGAAAATCTGTGACAAATATCTTAAGAAAACATCATTATCACCCGTATAAAATAAAACTCGTGCAGGAATTATCAGAAGATGATTATGACAGGAGAGTTGAGTATTGCGATGAAATGATGACGCGTGTTCAGAATAATCGTCAGTTTTTATATTGGGTTTGTTTTTCCGACGAGGCTACTTTTGAATTAAACGGATCTGTAAACCGACAAAATTGTAGATATTGCTCAGATAGCAATCCGCGTTGGATGAGAGATTCTCATACTCAGAATCCTCAAAAAGTAAACGTTTGGGCTGGAATATTGGGTGATCGTATCATAGGGCCATTCTTTATTGAT